CTTTAAAATCGCGGGGTGTATATTTTACTTTATCTCGGAAAACACGGACAAATGACAAATTTGATCAAAAGTTTAAAAACCCAGACATATCCGGACAAATCCGGACGGATGGTAATCCTACTCCGAGTGCACTATCCAAAACACCAAGACCAAAAATTATTTAGCGAAGATTATCTAAGTAACATAACTTTTAATCATTACAAATCAATACTTAGACAATAAATTCCAAAATAATATTGTTTCCACTATGTCCGGGTGACCATTTAAAGATTGCTAAATTTGACATAAGAACAACATTACTTTAATGTTAAAGTCGCATCATAGTACGACCTGAGTGAATGAATAGTCACAAAGCTGAGAATTAAAACACCATAGTTTTCACATTATAATAAGCTTACTCAAATCGTTTCATGGTACGACAAATCAATGTAAGGTTAAAGTAATATTGTATTCAGAGGTTGTGGTAAGCCCCCTGCTACAAACCAACTGGCCACCTTGGCTTCAATTGTCAAGTTCCTGGCACTGCTTATGGGTAAAATACCCATACACATACACAAGATATGTCACGGAGAGTGCGATGGAATTACACGATTTAATTCCCCCTTCCCCTTTCCATCGTCGGGGGACTAGACATAGGCTTGGATTCCACTCCTATGTTATCTTCCACATTTATATGACGAACGGCTATGAAGTGGAATTCCCTGCCTGCTGACTTGTTCCCTGAACGTTATAACTTGGATCTTTTCAAGGCGAGAGTGAATAGGCATTATTTAGGTGTGCATGCTCCATTGTTGACTATCAACCAGGTGAGATGGAGGTCAAATACGCACTTACATTTTGTAAAAAAAAAGAGTGTTGCTACCTCCACGGCCGAACGGTTACCATACTGGTCTACCACGCAGAGGTCCCGGGTTCGATTCCCGGGCCGGGAAACATATTTGTATGACCTACTTTTATTTCTCTCATGACTTTGTGCGTAAATTGTTATTTTCGATGTGTTTGTTCATAGCACTCACGATACAGGGTTTCCCTTTTTCCAGGGTAGTGCGGGGCTATGAATGTGTGCGTTTAAGCTATAGTCCACCACGCTCACCTAATGCGTAATAGGGATTTTATACGTTTATTTAATGTTGTGAACTGTCTTCATCACATTACGACAAGAAATGTCTATTTTATTTCATTCAAATGTACATATGTAACTAAATTAAAATCGCATATTAAAGACGTAAAACTTTTTAGTCGCAGTAGAGCTCCTCGTGGAAGAGTTCGTCCAAGGAAGTACTGCTGCCTCACCTATTCTGCCGCCAAGCTGTAATGTCAGCATTACTGTGTTCCAGTTTTGAAGGGTAAGGGTGCTAGTGAAATTACAGGCACATGGGACTTGTCAACTTACGTCTCAGAGTGACGGGCGCAGCGGCAGTGCCCCTCAAATCCTTGCGATTTAAAGCTCTGAGTGGCACTGCAACTGTTATGGACAGGAGTGTAGCTTACCATCAGGTGCACGACTTGTTCATCCCGCCACTAGGTATTATAAAAAAACATCTACCGCTACAAGGATTCGAACCGATTTCACAATTAAGAAACAACCGTCCTCCAACTGGGTTACTGTCGCTTTGTATTAAACAAAAAAACAGTAGGCATTTATATTTACTGACAATATTTATTACGTAGAGGAAATATTATATTGTATATTGTGCGTAAACAAGGATGAGAAATGACTCAATTGTGCCACCCAATTGCTTCAAGCTCGCTCACGTTTTTTTTTCCATTTCTTTGTATTAAATTCCGATCACTGACCTAAGAAAAGAAGCCAAAAGAATTGCATTCATCTCTTTGGTACCTACATACATAGCTTCGTTTTATTAGTCTTTGAACAAAGACCCCATCTGAAACCTTAGGAAAACTGTTAGGAGAGGAGAAAGACATTAAATCTTAGTAGAGCATGCCGCGTGTACATTTACTGGTCTAAAAAACGATTGATGATTGTATTTTACCGTGAGTTTCCCAACTTAAGGACCTCTATAAATCTTTTACGACTCTATGATACATATGTTGAGTGTTTTGGGTGGTGTAATTCACTTAAGGGACAATGTATACGCTACTGTAATAAGATTCCTGTTGATATTAGAAGTTTGCTATTTACGAGGTTTGAAACTATTCTATTACACAGCTTCTGCGTACTTGCATCTGTGGTGAAAATTCGTTTACGTTTAGATTATGCGTAAGCATCGTTTTTGTATTGTGAATATTTTAACCGCATTGACAGAGTTTCCCCAAAAAATGACACCATACATTAGTAACGGGTATACGTTCCCGTAATATGCGTTTTTTGCAACTTCCACAGACGCTACATCGACCAATACAGATAAAGCGTAGCAATAACTACAAAGTTTGTTATTTAGCACATATATGTGATGTTTCCATTTTAAGTTTTTATCTATAGTAATAATACTTACTACGTATTTTCTGAGCTTACCTTTGCATGCAACCACGTGAGCTAAAGTAAAGTTAGCTTAGATTCGTTCGTCGAGTGACCTGCGCTTAAACCTCAAATAACATACGTGCCGACCACCGATCATACTGCACTCAGCAATAAAGAGTATTATTGAGATTTTAGTTTATTGTAAAATGACTCCATTCATTTGTAATGAATATTAATTTTCCACAGAGAACTTACGAATCGCACAAAGGACAATACAAAGAGCAATGTTAGGAATAAGAGTATTCGATGGATAGCTGTAGTAAGCGACGTTGTACACAAAATTGAGACGATGAAATGGAAATGGGAAGGACACATAGCTAGGATGGATCTAAATCGGTGAACTAGGAGGATCATGGGGTGGCGACCATGGGCCTACACGCGCTGTAGAGGTCGTCTAACACTTCGTTGGGTGGATGACGTTAAAATTTTCGTGGGCCGCAAGTGGATGCATTTGGCACGGGAGCAACGGACATGGAGAGATATGGAGGCCTATATCCGAAGACGAATGGAGTAGAGGCTACTTGGTATTGATGATGATTAATAAAAAGATCTAAAACAAATATAATTTGACCTGTAGCTCGGTTGGTGGTCATGGGTTCAAGCCCCCGATGGGACCAATAAATTTGTGTTTATTTTTGATCTTTGTATTAATAATCAGTAAAGATTATTTCTACTTCTTAGGTTTTAACAATTGTTACACATTGGAAATGAAATTATTTTTAGCCAACTTCAAAAAACAATTCGTCTCTATTTTTTTGTCTGTGTTATGTTCTTCTCTTTGTTGGCAGGGGATTCGAGTATCTTCCTATTGGTCTGATTCAAATTTGAAGAAAATACTCTACTTCGAAGAGTGGTTACACACTGCGACTTTAGCAGCGATGCAAACGCGTGTTCGTGAAACGCGCGATTGCATCGCTATACCTGCGATTTATAGGTAATTGCATCGATGCAAACGCGCGACTGCACCGATGCAAACGCGTGACTGCAACGACATAAACACGTGACCAATCGTCTATAAATCCCAAGTGTAGCGATGCAATCGCGCGTTTGTATCGATGCAGTCACGCGCTTACATCGCGTTTGCATCGCTTCTAAAAGTCACCGTGTGTACCGCTCTAAGGGTGGAAAAGTAAGGGATGAAACCGGTTCATTGAATTTTACCCACGTTCCGTCAACCGATTTCAAATAAAACTTGGCACATAGGTGTAATTCTAATGAAAATAAAACACAACGAAGACAGATAAGTAAAAAATGAGGTTGGTTTTGTTTTTGTTTAAAAATATTATATAATTATTTAGGATCTAAAACGCGTAATTTGGTTTTCAAATAAAAAAAAACTTTTGGGTCCGTTACAGGTCCTATGGTCAAAGTAACTTTTTTATATTGTTTCTATCTGCTATATTTGTAATAAAATGAAATGGGAACGAATGTCTCCGAGAGTAATGGAATTTCTTACTCATCCTCATGTTCATCATCATTCTTCATATCTTCAGTTCATCATCATATTCTCAGGGGAAAATAAGTGTTTCATAAATTTGAGAATTTTAAGCGTAATTCTCTTATATTTCCCTGGAAATTATTTCGTTGTGCTGGTACACATAGTAAAGGGAGTTTCAAACCTAGTAATTATTGTGGCTATGTGGCAGATTATTATAATCATTACATCGTCTTCAATTGGATATATAGAGATAGTACGTCTAACAATTTTATAAAAAAATCGACCTCAAAAGTTCGTGGAAATATATCTATTTGCCAATTGAAAATCGGTTAGTGGAAAATGCGTGAAACCGGATTCATCCCCTAATTTGCCACCCTTAGAGTTGGAATATTTCCTTCAAATTTAATTGGGATCAATACTTAGGTACCCTCTTTCCAACAAAAATGAATCATCAAAATCGGTTTACAAATGCCGCCATACATACAAAAAACCTATAAGATATAACCTCCTCCTTTTTTTAAAGTTGGCTTAACTGCATTCTTTGGACATGCATCGTCATAAGAAAATTTAGACTAATCCCAACTAATATTATAAATGCGAAAGTAACTCAGTCATAGGACATAGTAGTACTTTTGTCACAAAAATAAATCTTAAAGTCACCTCCTTTATATATAATATATAATAAAATATAATAGGGTATGAAAGTTTGTGTGGAGAACCAATAAAACTATTAAAATTAGTATAGTACAGTAAGCTACTCGAAGTACTCTTTCTACACAGACGAAGTCGCGGCCATCTACTTGTTATATATATACATAATGAGTTATTATTACCTTGTTGGGCATTAGTTTTAAATTTGATATATTTCTTTTAATATTCTAACTGACGGTGTCCGAAACGTAGTTGTATGGTGCGCATTTTGAAATTATTTTAGGGTAAACACGCATGCGCCGTGGCAACAAACAACCACCCTTCTGAAGCAGACTAGCGCGGTTGGTTGCCGCACCACCGCGTCTCTTTCTATCTTCTTCAACCTCTGTGATACAAAACAAAGTATCACTGAAAAACCTTCATTTAGCCCCATTATGACTAAAACAATTAAGTGTGTGAGTGTTTTAGCTTAGATTAATTTAGTCTAAAGCTTTTAACGTAGCAAAATATATAGTACGATTATTTATTAGATTAAGATTTTGTGTTCAGTGAAGTTCGACGCTCGCTTGTGTTTTGGAATATGATCGTTATTTAAAAAGGTATGTAAATTTTCATCTTTTTATCACATAAATCCTACCGCCTCCGACGTTAATGTTCCGCGACATTTGTCTCAAAAACAAATTTTATACTAAACACGTAACACAAAAACTATTTGAATTCTTTTAAAAAAAGTGTACAATAAAAAATAGAGACTTTTAAACGCGATCATAGCGTAGACTAATAATATTGTTATAGTATTGTTATAGATAGATCTTAAAAATATAAGTATGTCACTTCATACTGCCTAACACAGTTGCTAGACAGTTTTAATTCAACTAAAAGCACGTTAAAATTCATTAGGTAGGTACTTAACTTAATTAAAAATTCGATGGTATTTCTTTATTTTACGGTTATGTTACTGACGTAGATTACCATCATCGGTACTATTCTTTCCTTAACTAGAGGAAACATAAATTGGAAAATAATTTCTACTAAATTATTGTTAGTATTGTAAAAATATTAGCTAGCGAACGCGCTTTATTTTCATCTACGCTATATATTAAATTAAGTATATGTAAATTATGTATGATGCCTGATTGTAAGATGGTATTGAGGTGCCACTCAGAGCTTTAAATCGTAAAGACCTGAGGGGCACTGCCACTGCGCTCGTCACCCTGAGACATAAGTTGACAAGTACCACATGTTTGTAATTTCACCAGCTCTTACCCTTAAAAACTAACCTATTGCTTGGTAGCAAAAATAGGTAAGGTTGCAGTACTTCCCTGGACGAATTCTTTCACAAGGAGCTCTACTGCTACTAAACTACTGGGTGCTACTGAATTGATCGATCTGGAAGTCTTTAAATAGGCTTCGAACTCTTGTAGACCGGAGCAAGGACAATTTGGTAAGGTGGTAATTTTTGGATAGTTCTAATATAGATTGTTGTTTGGTGCGATTCAAATCGTGACCTGCGTGCGTTGATACCTGCTCGCTTAAGTTTAATGGTGCCGACTAATAACGCGGTCAGCTTGGCTAAGTACTGGGTCGCAATGATATAGTGTTTGCTATTGATACGATAAGAAGAAGTATTAAAACTACAACCAATTTAAACGAGGCCACCACGGTTTCTATTAATTTTAATAACGCAGACACTCAACATAGCCCCACACTACGGAAACCCTGTGTCGTGGGTGCCATGGACACACACATAGACAACTACAAATTACACCCAAACTCAGGAAAGAAATAAATAATGAATAAAGAAAAAAATATGAATACAAATGTTTCTCCCGGCCTGGCAATCGAACCTGGGACCTCTGCGTGGCAGTCCGACATGGTACCTAGCCGTTCGGCTACAGAGGCAGTTTAGTTTTAACTCTTTCCGCTTTGCTGCGTTTTGTCTGCCCAATATAGGAATATGTATATTGGACAGACAAAACGCACCAAAGCGGAAAGAGTTAAAGAACACATCGCGGTTATTAAGAGGCCGTTAGCTCAAAAAGTCTGCAACAGCCGAGCATTTACTGGAATCGGTCCCAAACCACTAGAGTGAGCTCCATAATCCCAAGATCTTTTCTACAGAACGTCATCACTATAGTATAATCGTACGTGAAGCTATTGAAATAAAAAAACACCGTAATTTCAATCGAGAAGACGGTTTTAAGCTTTCATCGTCATGGGATCCAGTTACCAGCAAATGTTAACGACATCAAGTATCGCCCGACAAGTCGCCGGATATCGTAAGTGTTGTGTGTCGGTCTAGTGAGAACCCTAGTGCACAAATAAATAATGAAGATCAGTGCGGGTAGTTAGAAAAACTCGCACGGCTAGAAGATGCTGATACCCGCCTCTTCAGTCCCTTCGAGACCATAGACGTTGCAGTATGTCATAAACCCCTAGAGGTAATTAAAACATGTTTTATACGTGATTAAGTCCCGAATTAAAAATCAAATAATAAGTGTATTTCACTTACATTGGGCACGCGAAGTACGTACAGTTGTGGCTTCTATATCTGTGGTTACGCGGTTTCTCGGGACTTTGAATATAAACAACCTGTACACATAATACAAGCGCTGAATAAAAGAATACACTAGCTTATTACTGAGAGTGGGGATCAAAAGGTCTATGAAACCATAAAAGTGTTAATAAAAATCTCGCGAGTTGAAACTCGCGCGTTTCTTCAAAGTATGAAGCCAAAGAAATTCTCGGAAGCCCCTTCACCTGCGCCCTTTAATGTGTTAGGTAAGTGCTCAAGGGAACATCCGTTTATTACGTCAAATGTCAAGGAGGATCTACAAAATATGACATGAAACCAGTGTTTCAAGAATATGATGGGTCTAATTTATTTATTAAAAGACCAGCACACACTTTGACACAGCTTTGGAGGTGTGGCAACAATTTTACTATATAATAGGTTCTATTCTATTCTTAAGTTTCTGGCTTATATATACACTAGGTTAAGCCGCGTGCTGCGGCGGCACACGTCACACTAACAGACGTACAAAAAGTGCCTGTTAAAAAATAAAAAGCAATATAATTTTATGCATTATAAACTATTTGAATATTTAGGGGCTGTTCGTTTCTTTCACGTAGACAACAGCAGACACAACTTTTACAAGACATTGAAAGAAATAATTTAAAGTTATACCAATTATCACTGTAGCACCGTAATAATAGTAACATTAGAACGACTCGGTTTTTAAAATCCAACCGTTATGTTATAATTTCTAAATGACCCAGTCTTTAATTAGGTACATATGTATTGATGTAGTTGTAAAAAAGCGCATTTAGGTAACCTGTGATGTAAATAAAGGAATATTATAAACTTGTGACATAGTCGACGAAGGGATCTTAAGCCGCTGCGTACCTTTGAGAGATTGCGATCGATGTTTCGAACAGACCGAGATAGAGGGGAAGATACACAAGGGTACTATGGGCTTTTCCCGGCGAGAGGGAATCAAGTCACCCCCTGTAAATAAAGATAAATAAATAAACACTCCCGGAATCGTACAATACTGGAGATTTATATTTTTTATAATATAACTTTGAGTTTGGTAGACGCCGGCATGTACGCCGGCGTACATATCTCAATCCGATTGGAGATGTCCTTAAAACGATTTAAATATAAATATACTAAACGGGCATGTATGAGGCTAACGGGAGTGGTGGAGGCGGAAGAGGTTTGTCATGCCTTCAGGTGATTCTCTCTCGCTTGTTATGCCCCAATTGATTGTAATTAAGGCAAGTACCTCATGGGCAACATTTATATACAGGGTTCCTTACAGAACTGTATTACTAAAATCATGCACAACCCCTTTTATTCCATGATTTTTAATAATTCTTCAGATTTTATTTTCGTACAGTCCCATATCATTCTCCATAAGTTTTGTTTATAGTGCCCCTCCCTATCAACCTCTTGGTTATTGCGGGAAGAGCCTTATGCAGTTGCAGTTGCAAGAGTGCTTCCACTTGGTTACTCTATTTAGCGGGTTGTTATCCATGGACTCTTTTACCCTACACTACAAATGGATAATGAACCCAAAACAGTCAATCGTTTGTAAACGATAGTTATTGAATACATATCAGCTCTAATCCCCGGAATACTGTGAAATTAAGCCTAAGGGTATCATCGTCAAAACGTCAAAACTCATGTATTGGTTTTCAATAACTATGCCAAAATTTTCTCAACATCCCGTACTAGCTGCACATAAATGTGTATATTAGGTACCATACCTGTGTATATGTATATTGGTAGCGTTTGTGTTTGTTTTGTTTAGTTTATTAACATCATCTAAATCAACAATCAGAAAACACAATCATGTAAAGGCAAAGGTAAGACAATTAAATAAGACATTAAATAGGTAAATAATAACATAATGTGATTTCGCAAGCTAACTGAAGCGTCACAAGTGTGACTGAACCTTAGCATTTAAAAGTTCCTATACACATTTAAACAAATATGTGTACATATGTATATCTTACACTACTACTACATAAAATATACGTCGGAAAATTCCCGGGATTCGTTGCCGGGGACACTTTCCACTGCAACTGTCATGGAAAGGCGTTTCGCTTACCACCAGGCGTAAGACGACTTGTTCGTCCAGTCACTATAATTATCATAAAAAAAATCAGTAGGCGATTAAATAATAAAGCTCGAGAATTGCAATTAACTCGTTTATTCCCTTTCACACTTATAAA